CCACTGAGGACATAAGTGTTATTTGCCGAAAATCATTGTATTTCAAATACAGCAAAAAAATCAATAACTCCCAATTATCAAACGATTACTACTAAGTTGTGTTATCTCACACAATCCATATTTCATACCCTTGGAATATTTGGGAGTATCGCGGCAACTACGAACGAGGCTGTCACTCATTGACGTTATGTTACTGTTAATTTACAGTGAGCCATGAACATGTAATAATTTACTACTAGGGTCAATTCATATTAACGATGTGACGGGATATTATTCACATAATATCATGGGAACAGCTGTGGGCGTGTTCTGTTACACGGTGTTTGTTGCACACATCGTCTAATGTACTATTAAACGGTACGTATCAGTAATCGAAAGAAGCGTTTGTGCAGATCGTCATTTCAGCAAATATAAACGTATATTATATCGTACTAGGACGCTACTAAATCATAATTTCTCACAATGAATCATTTTGCACAGTGTCAGTGTCAAGCGATATTAGTATAATACATGTTTGTCCAACTTGTCAATTTAATGAGAGACAATCTCAGTGAGTGCGGCACTAGAGTACAATGCTCGCCAAAGTTGAATGTACTTCGATGTCTGTAGCGTGATGATATTTGAAACTGAATTCCGGAAGTCTAACACGTGACCGTAAATAACGGCAATTAGAGAAAACCTTTCTCATATTTATGATGTGCAATAAATCAGTGACGTCATCATATTCACACAGGATAAACACCATTCTTTACATCTGACATCATCTTTAAAGGGGAACTTGTCAATCCCCAAGACTAACCCAAGGAATCGTGGGATGTTATTGTTTATGTAGTTTACAATGTTAATCTGTCTGTTTTTCTGAATCAATGTATTTTTTTCATCTAGTAAGTAAATTGGCCGTTAGTTTAGGCTCCCCCTATAACATTCAGTCAAAAGCACGCCCTAGGACCCAAGTTTTACAGGGCTGTAGGAAGGTTTAAAGAAAGATGGTTTATGGCTAATTAAACAAAGCTTCAAGGTCGGAGTCAAGTTGATAAAAAGAACTTAACATGGTGATGAAAACCAAGTCGTGTTATTGAACTGTCTATATCTACTTGTAGTAAACTGTTTAAACATAAATTGAGTAGTCCGCGCCCCTCCCATCACCACCTTCATAAGTAATTTTGTTTTCAAATATATTCCATGTGAACAAAATACGTGACTACATTGCCTAAAACATCCTTTGGTCTGATTGTTTTTTCAAAATTGCCACTCTTGACTGGTCTCTACTCCGATTTTATCCAAGATTTCGAATATTGAAATTTATATAGAAGACAATGCCTTAAAACAAGCTTGTCGTGGGACAATATTAATATACTTGCAATTTGTGAAATTGATAATAACCTTGGAGTTGTTAAAATGACGTGCATAACCGGTTAGATCCGTCTCACATTTCATACAAGTGAGCGTCTTTGGCATCAGATTAAATGTTCTTCAAAGATAATTCAAAAGTACCATTGGGTCAGTGCCACGAATTAGAGGTATTTTATACCAAAAAAGAAAAATCAGCAGCCGCGAATTTAGAACTTTTTGAATATACTTTACGAGTTTTACCCGATGCCTAGTACATCCAAATTAAAGACTTTAGACATATATAATAAAATTAATACATAACGTAGCGATTAAACTTTACATGGGAGCTGTATACCATGTGATGAAAACGTCACCTGACAAAAGTTTTTTTTTTTGCG